ACCGCATTGTCGTTCTTTTGTACAGTTTAATAGCATCGGTGATTGACTTTTCCTCAGTGTTGCGTTGCATTCAATTCATCACTGGTGAGGAGGAGCAGTAGTCGGTCAGCAAGTTTCGGTGTTCTCGCAGAAGGTGTATATTATGACGCTCTTGTGTTACCACTCCATGGTCTCATTTCGGAACAGGCAGGGAATTAGGAGGCGACAGATTGGAACGTATGCAAGGTTCGAGATTCGGAGCGACGTGAAGGATTTGCATGGAACAATCAGACAAAATTGTGTATTACCTTACGAGAAAGGTCCTATCGGGACTTGAACCCGAGTCGCTGGATTCAAAGTCCAGAGTGCTAACCACTACACTATAGGACCGTGAAAAACTTGTGTATCAAACGGGATTCTTGGCTACTATAGTTCAGTTGATGGGACGAGCATACCAGGTGGTGCGCATCCATCATGAAGCGGTCGAGACCGAGTCGTGACCCGTTTTCTGAATATCTCAATCCAGATGATTGATTGGGTAATTCAATCTATTCTCGAGCGTTTCCAATGTGAGCATGATGAGAAGGCGGTCCCCAAGACTACATCAGTTGTAATGGATCGTCCGTTGCCGCATTATTAGTCATAGTCCCTTTTGCTGTGTGCAGCAGAGCTGTCTGCCTTTCTCGTTGCGCGCACATAAGCTCTCGGCTTTCTCCTTCTCTCTGTCGAGTTCAGAGTCGGGTCTGTCTAACGGGTATTAGTCTCCGGATGACCGTTTTCGAGGAAGGCGAGTTGTATTCAACTGCTCTCTCCTGAGTCGTGCTTTAGTTGACGAGTACAGAGGTCGCACCTGGAAGTGCGAATTCCGTGGCGTTAGGTCAGCGTGCTTACCAGTTCTACCTGTATGGCGTTGCTGAGTTGTAATGTATGGAAAGCGCCGCTGATAGACGGGTGTTGAGGGTATTGCCAATCATTGCGCTTCAGAAGAAGTCCCTCTTGCGATGTATCGAAGAAGTTCGTACGATGTTAGCTCATAATACTGTGACTGTACAACATGAGCTTGCTTGTTACGGTGTTGTGCACTGTAGAGCCACAACTCTATTTGTTACTTCATATTTTAATCTCACTGTGAGATCACAAGTTTATGGACAGACAGTGTGACGGTTGCGCTAGATGACGATATGCTGTATATATATGCGAAATCGGAAGTTGACAATTTCTTCGAGGTATTGCGGCCCGGAACGATGCACCGCTCTGGGTATAACCCTCGTTGAGTTGACACAAATTTTTGTTATATTGCAGTCTGCCATTCCGGAATGTCGTTGTTCTTCCAAATGTCACCCGGAGCGTTTTCTTCGAGGCCTAATTTTCACCCAGAGGATGCCTACGTTACGTAGGCTACGAAGGATTCTCAGGTCCACAATCACGTTGCTAGGGCTTACGCTCAGGTTTTTGAAGGTGGCTCCCGGTTGGGAAAGGTGTGGGAGGGAACAGACTAAATTTCTTCTTTGCCTTTCCTAGTACCGAACATAGTCAATCGAAAAGCATATTGTTTGAAGAGAGATCGTCGAGAATCGCCGGGAAAAACGCTTGCCGTGATTTCATACACACTGTGTTCCACCAGTGTTAATGAAAACATGGAGATCATTCACCCGGTGGCGATGGTATTGCCACTTAAGGAGGTTTCTCGTCAGGAGTGTCACGACGTTTCTCGTGAATGAGGCGTTGGAAGTATTATCCACCCAGACAGACTGCGACGAAAAGAAGCCTGGGCATATACATGAACATCCTATGCAGGAGGTGCTGGAAGACGTATGGCTCGTACGTTACATACACATCTCAATTGTGATATTGAAAAGCGGGACAGAAGAAATTTGAAGGAGAAATGGAGAACCCGGGCATCGATCCCGGTGCCTCTCGCTTGCTAAGCGAGCGCTCTACCATTTGAGCTAGTCCCCCATGTGTTCAAGAATCTTTCGATATGTACAGAGAGCAAGTGTTTCAAAAATTGACACAATCTATTCACTCGTCAAGATTGAATTGACTACGTTCCGGTTACTGAACAGAAGCAACTCGCATTGATAAAACCTTTTTTTGTGACAGGAGCACTGAGAGATCACCACCGGAAGTATCTCCTCACTCACAGATTGACATCAGAAGTTTCGATCACATAACTTTACCATGGCGAGACTTTGTTATTCTCTGTCGGACTATTTTGAGACTCCATCATCTTTTTCTATCAAACCGGAAAAATTATCATATCCCATCATCGAAAAAATGACCGCAAATGGTCTGTACCGGGGACCGTACCTGAGGCCTGTAGTGAGTCGGTTACGTTGAAACGCTCTGCTCGTGAACAAGTAGTATATTCCACGTCGGCCATAGTTCCGCCCGTCTCTCTGCGGGCTCTGTTTATTTGTTCCGAATGGTTAAAGCTGTTGATGAACGTTTCACTTGCACTTCGTACCATGTCAGACGTGTATAGTTCTGTTTCAACGAAAAAAGTAGTATTTTGGTTAACCCTAGTCCATCTGCATCCTCACGATCCACATTAGTGATTCGCTCACGCTCTACTAAACTTGTCGAGTGAGCGGTCACAATGTTTGGGCTTTCCAGTGGATTACTTTACTCATGGCAAGAGTAGAAGGAGAGTCGGGCTTAACGGCCAAGGAGGTTCAGAGTAAAGTACAGCAGTTGGATAGGGAGCGCAGTGCTATTGTCAGCAAGATAGCTGAGCTCGAACAGGAGTCTAAAGAGCATGGGTACTGACGACTAGCAAAGAGGGCAAAGACCAGGGATGTTTAGGTTGGTGTTGGGGGCCTTCGATAAGGTGCCGGAGGATCGACGCTGCTATCGGTTGGTTGGGGGAGTTCTCGTGGAAAGGGCAGTGAAGGACTTCCGCCCGGTGGTAGAGGATAACAAAGGCAGGGTAGTAATATGGCGTATTTGGCGGAGTGGTATCGGCGTTGGTTGATATGCTGACGGTCGTGGGTTCTATTCCTACAGATGGAGGAGGCTTTGAAAAGTCTAAGCGATATGCTATCCGAGAAGACCAAGACTATGGAGGAACTCATCGAGAAGTACTGTTGGAGTGGTATGCCATTCGCCGCTCATTTTTCCTCGAAAGGTACGGCACCCCGGGGCTACCCCCTGCCAACACTGACAAGATGCATGAAGTGAATAAAACCGAGGAGGCCCAGTCCGCGGCGGCCCCTTCGGTGGGAGTGTTAGTGTGAAGAACATTTTCTACTCTGTGGGTTGTTGCGCACGGCGAAGATTCTATACGTATCTTGGCGTATCAGTAGATTCCATTTCATTTTCCTCCCCACCCTCCGTCCATGTCTGAGGGGGAAGAGCGGCTGAGTCTATTGGTCAAGAAGGTTGATGAACTCATTTCGAGGGTGATACCGGGAAAGCTCCTGTGTGGGGGAAAATATGCACATGGTCAACTACCCATGAAAATCTGGAAATTCTATGAAAACTCTTACTGCTTTCTGTTCACTTCTCTTCGAATTCGTATGTGAACTTCTATTATTAGTGAGGACACCTGAGCTCAGCTGAGGAAAGTGGCGAACACTGGAGAGCCCGTCTCGTATCCTTCTGCGTGCGCAAAGATATTCTCCACCAGGTCACGTCCTCCGGCCAGCATGCTTCCTCCAACCTCATCAACGAGGTTGGGCAAGTATGTGTGGATTTGACGCGCTCGAGGGACCAGTCCTGGATGACCGCTAAACGGGTTCTCGCCGTCGGGTCTGTAGAGAATAAGGGCTACCTAGGTAGGTTCAAGGTGGTGGCACGCAGAGAAAAAGATACCATCAGCTCAGCTATGTGTCTGGTGGACTCGATCGTTCGACACGAGAGAAAGCATAAGTGTCCGGAGGCCCGATGCTCCTTTGCTGACTTATTCTCGGATCACGTTTGCCGATTAACTCGCAGGGTGAGACTGCTCTGGTGCGCAGCCGGAAGGATATCTTCGTATTCACAGGCATTGTCAGTGTATGCTACGGATAGTGAGCTGATGAGGATGGGGAAGATGTTGAACGGATGGGTTATTAAGAAACCCTTCGACTCGGCGGTGCGTGTGGGAGGAGAACCGCTCTCGCTGAGAGCTATATACTGAGTTATGCAACGACTTAGTTCAGATCGGATGATGCGTGCTCGCGATAAGACTATCATCGTCATTTGAGGATTTCGACTTTTCGTGTGACCAATCGTGCCAGTCTGGTCTATGGTCATCGACTATGGGCATCGTTGTTCATCGATTTGGAGTGTCCCGTGGTTGTGTTCACGCTCACTTTAGCACCGTGTTTTGATTACGTAATGAACGTGGAAGTGTAGTGTGGTCTTTCGCGAACAACTTGGAATTTATTTCGGCACTTATATGAGCATGGCATCATCGATCATATACAGTTCTTACGATGGAGGCTATTAGGCATTCCTTAGACCCATCAGGTTACTAAGGAACTGAAGTCCATCATCCCTGACGCAGCTGACGCCACTTTCGGCAATGGCCAGCGGCGGCGGCGGCAGTCGAAACGAAAACGGAAAGATGCTGGGGTGTCACCAAGAGTGTCACCGAGCGGGAAGGCGGGCGCTGTGTCCCATCACGGGCTTTTGATTGACCATTTCTTGTGTGACGATGCGGATCGCCCTCGACAAAGGGGGGAAGACGCAGAACGGGCTAGGAGAGTGCAGGGAGTACTACCATCGGGGGCAATCGATTTGATACCAGTTAGTGAGCAACGATCTTCCTGGAGAGTGCAGGGGGGAGGGCACGACAGTCTTCA